ACTTATGGAATACGAAAATTGTTAGTATTGCATTCATTTTGCGTAAAGGACAATTTTTTGACACTTCAATTTCGGCAAGCAATTGGACCTGAGTTCCACACCGGTAGTCCAAAAATCATTTTCGCTACCGAAATTTTGCATACCGTCAGAATATAGCGCTCCCTTTCACCCATAAAAGAGTGCTTAAAATATTAGCTAATTGCTTGGATTGCGACTCTAATGTAATTCGAGTGAATTCGCAAATGAAGGTTCTGCTGCGGACGCCTTACAGTGACACAGTGGAAGACGCTATTGTCGGTACACGCCCAACGACGAAAGCACCTACACGCCAGTTTAGGCACAACAAACCTATGGGTGGAAAGGCGTGGAGATGGGAATGGGACCCGATGTTGGTTAAGTGGTGATTGGAACAAGATAGTGAGTATTGCAACCGAGTGAATGGCGAAATGCTAGGATATGGTGGAGGCGACTGCATGTTGGTCTCCTGTGTTCGAAGGGCGTGATGCATTTGTCGGTAGGTCATGTGATTGGCCAATGATGGCGAAATGAAATGTAACCATGACAAAATGGAAAAACTTAGTCAAACACTTGGAGGGTTGATTAGGAATAAAGAGAAAATGAGACGTACAAAAGAATTAATCTCTTAGCCCGCCTATGCGTAGCATGGTATGGAATGGATGGTCATCAAACTTACTTAATTCACTATCAGCAATTGTTGGATTATTTGTGAACAATTATGGGATCAAAATAACGCTTCAAAGTAAGACAATGTAGAGTATCCGTTGCACGGCTCATTTAGATTGACAAATTTGTTGTGTTCCTTCACTCACGGCGGATCGTTCAACCCATATTGCGCATGCGATCTGATCGAGGAGTTTAGGGCAAGTGTCCACAACCGGTACTCGATCGTTAAGTGACTATCTCCAAAGTTTTGTCCTCCCAATTAATATTAGGGAGGAACCAAATCCGTCCTTAATTTTACTTTCATTGCAATTTTTGCCAAGTCAATGCATGCATAGTTGACACGTGTAACCAAATAAGAAGTATTTTCTTTAATGCAATGTTTTACGATCATTGGTTAGCGAAATCAAACACTTTGATTAGGGAATTTATAGCCAGTCACTTGTAACAGTGTCACTTGTTACAAGCTTGTATTTAGAACACAGGAAAGGGACGCATGAAACCGGAAGCTATTCTCAACTCTTCTGTTGTGGAGACGTTGAAGATCTCCCGCTCATGTATAGATTTTTTAATCGTACAGAAGAAGCAAAGTAAGGTTTGATTTCTGCTTTGGCTTTCTGTGTGGTGTTATCTAGTCATAGAGGTGGCCGAGTACAATTGAGGGTCTGCCAAGAAATCCCTAACCCAAGTCAAAAGTTCCAATAGCAAAGATCAACGTAGTAGTCAGCACTCAGTCATTAGTGAGACGAGATTGGCATTACCTGATTGAGTAACCAACATGAAATACTTTATGTTTTGCCAAAATTCCAGCTCCGGAGCAACTTTACACTTATCGCAACTTCATTTAAAGTCCAATTTCAAGCATGCGCTTAGGCGTTGGTACTAAAATTGGGCGAGAGTGGACGAAAATGGCGTCATTTAAAACCAGGTGAAAGGCATATGCATTTCAGATCAACAAAGTTGTCCTCAATCAGTACTCCCATATAAGTTTTATCAGAACACTACATTTCTCGTGTAGGTAATATGCGATGAGGAGAAAAGGTAGTAGCTTCGTGTTCCAAATAGTCCTGTCCACTCCCTATTTGCGACAATTCTCCACCCCCAGTAGCAAGCCTTGGTTAACAAAATTAAAACCTCAGGTTGTGGCAAGTATTGTTGCTCAAAAACACTCCGCCGACAGTCAAACCTACTCCCAAACCAACAGGCCTTCAGGAGAAGAACATGTGAGGTGCAATGGGCAGAAAGTCCATATTAGGGCTTCAGGAGAAGGTTTAAAAAACATCGTTGCATAAAGGTGCTTTAATGTATTATGATTAGAAAATCTACTCAATGAGCTCAAAGTTGTCCCTATTGAGGAGACGATTGCCTTTTCTTCATCTTGCTACTGCAAATATCACGTTTGGCAGAGGTGGAAGGTGTTTTCCTCGTGGGAAGCGAGGGTGATGAATCCTAACGGGTATCATTAGTAAGGTAGATGTTAGCAGAAGACATTCCAACTTACTCCTCATTTATCAATACAATTGTCATTTAGTTTCGATGCTTGCGTATTTTTGTTTTGCTAAGGGAACTGCTTACCGTAACAATTCATAACAACAGCAGGATGATAAGACACTACAGTTTTCATTGAATATGTCATCAGTCAAAGCACATTTCAATTTTTTTCGATATTAAACTGTAACGCATCGCAAATTGTCATTAGGTAAAAGAGGATATATGGTGAAGCTGAATGCTTTTACTCAGTCAGAAATCGTACCAAAGCGAATGCCAGTCACATAGGTGGTCAAATGAATGAGGCATTGCACTACCTTTCTCCCCCTTTGAACACCTACCTTTGCCCTCTACTCGACACACCACTCCACCCAGCCAAACACAACCCATTCGATGCTGCAAGGAAACACCCACGAAACAGTCGCTCCCATCACCCGCTCCGATTAGACTGAAGGTGCACAACTGAACCCTCAGCTGCTCCAACTGGCCTGCAAACAGACATTTGGGGCAAGTGCTTCTGTTGGCTAGGCGTTGGAAGATTGGTATAAAACTGATTCATAGCAGGAAAAACGTAACCAAACACGTTGCTGTGTGGAAATAGCCTCAATGCAGTGGCGCTGGTTCGCAGCAGCGTTGCTTCAGTTGTTAATATCATGTCTGTAGGACAATGGGAATGAAGTGAAGAGGTTTGAGTATCGCCCATTTCATGTTGATGCATTCAACTTTTGCAACAGAAGCTTGTCACAAGCGATTGAGACTAGAATTGATATGGTAACGAAAGCACCTTCATTGTAACTTGGCAAGCTTTTTGGTTTGTCTTAGATTATCATCAAAATAATATCGACTTTTCTCAAAGAAATTTGGTTTTAACTGTAAAAGTTTAAAGCATGTCAATGCTCCAAAATAGTGCTTACTATTTCCATGTGTTCAACTTCTTTGTCTTGTCTGTAATGTCGTGATAACTCCGCCAAGCATGCAGGCATCAGAATCATACCAAAGGTCCCATCGCCCTCTTTGCTGTCTGAATAAATGTAGTAACTTAAGTATTACACTGTCTACTGTCCAGTTGGAGTCTCGGGAATCTACGTATGCACATTGAAAATTAAACCAATGATGACGTCTTCACCGTATCAAAAATAGACTGATAAATGCTCCCATAGTCATCAGTACTGTGGAGTTTGGTGCAATCGACATGATGGACATTACAGCAGCCAGTCTTTCTTAAGACGAATACCAAAGTGTGCAGGAGTCATGCAGATGGCCATATTACCCAAGTATTACAATACACTGCCCCCTTCTCCTTTTAAAAGACGTTCTCCGCGTCCCTATCGATTCGCTTCCTACGCCAGCCATCACAGCCCATTTGAGGCAGCGAGGAAACACCCAAGAGCCAGCTGCGTTAGTCACCAGCCGCTATGCGACCGAAGGAATGTACTTCATGCTCCCATCAGCTGCAACTTGATTTAGCATTACTTTTGACCTAAAAACAGAAATCTTGGACTAGTACTTCTGTTGACAATCATGTCTAGGTCTAGACGTTGAAGCACCGTTCTGAAACTATTTATTAATGTTGAATACGAGATCGAATACAGTTATCTAAGGAAAAGATTTTTAGCATGATAGCACTGCCCGGCCACTGTATGCGAATAAGATTAGAAAAAGCCATGAACGAAACTTTTTTCGGTAGTACATGGCAAGATCACATCAGCTGTTAAGAGCTTGTTTTTTGAACGTGAGAATAGTATAGATGCCAAATGAAGACGCCATTTTCAGCCCTTCTGTTGCATAGAGGTGAAAGGTTGTCTCTCAGTGAGTACTGCACTTTATGCACTCCGCGGCATTTTTCTATAAACGGTGGTAACCAGGCTAAATAGAACAATATATGAAGTCTGCATTCCATTGTCGTTAGTGTAACAATCCAGCATTTTCCCTTAGGCAGAAGAAGAGAGTAGATGTGATACTTTCATTTAATAAGAGGTGGAAGAGGCTGGAAATTGGGTTCAGATCCTAGGGCAGCATATGTAGCCCGGAGAAGGATGAATATCAAAGTTACCGCCGATCATACAAGGAGTTCCATGAGCAAGGCAATACAATGCAGCTTATAATTTAATTTGACATATCAATGCTCATAGTGCAATCTATGATCTGTGACCTGGTGCCAGTTAGGGGCTTGGCAGCTGCATGTTGTGATTTGTAGTTTTTGTCTTTGGCTGTAATATTCACTGTGTTTCGACCAGATTTCTTCCTACCACATCCCCCTTCTCTCCTTTTTTCTTTTATTTTCAGTCGCCATGCTACTGAAGTTAATCTAATGACGTAGGTGACCACTACCATTTTCAAATGTAACTCGTGATAAATTAAGGGTTTAGGTTTGCAGTTATTGCTTGATTAAGTGTTGCTGGAACCGTTTACGCAACAAACTGACTAGTGGTTGAGCAACAAAACCCTACTGGTTAATGTCGATAGGAAATAAAGGTAATCACACTTATAACTGCTTAAAGCTTTTGACTTTCAAGTGAGAAATCAAAAATTCCAGTTTGCCTAAAACAGTCATCGAATTGCACTTAAAATGTGCACACAGTGCTGTAGGAATTAAGGAAACACAAACAAATCCTACTTCAAGAGGTTATTACCCGACCTACCTTTAATAAAACAATACCCGAATGTGCGTTGTAAGAATTAAACTTTTACGAGACAAAGTTAGACAGTTTAAGAAACCGATTATTGGATCATACAAAAGGTATCACCGTCTTAGGATATCAGAAGCACAAGGGACAACGAAGAAATGAGAGAAGTGGAACAAAAGATCAGTAGGTGCACAAATTACACTTCTACTGTTGATGCCGGTTTTGTCGGGAATAGAAGTCGGAAAGAATTTTCCAGGCCGAAGGACTCATAAAACCGTCTGGTGGCTGTTGACCTTCCCTTGCCAAAGTGCGCATCTTTGTTCCCGAGATAAAGATGAAGTCATCTGCGTGGCTTGGATCGTAGATTTCCATAGCCCTATGAACCTTGTTGTATGCAGCCACACGAAACGGCACAATTTCAAGACCCGCCAGACCTGGAGCCATCGACAACACCTGGAGGGTGGGGAAGAATAACAGTGCAGTTATCAAACCATGACGATAAAGACTGTGCCGGTTAAGCCCTTACTTTTCAACGCTCTACTTCCAGCGAATTAGGGCCGACACATAAGGTAAGAGCTTCTCCACTGCTTTTTCCACATTGTACGCCACAATTGCATACCTCAAACCTTCCCAAACACAAGTCACACATCCCATTTGACAAAGAAAATGCAGTCATCAATGCTCTACCGATCGTACTAAATGGCAACAATCTATTCAAGTAGAAGCTGCCATTGACTTCCCACCTTACTTAAGGTACCCGCATAATTGGGAAAGTTTAAAAACAACCATAACTGTACCACTAAACGTGGCTTTGCATCCCAACCTTTGCAAATGTGGGAAAGAATGAAGGGATCACATAAAAAAGCATAGCATCCTTTCCCAAAGAGGGCATGCATTAGCACTAGTTGCCGCAAAATAGTGTCCCTACCCTCGCAAGCGTGCGCTTTGGGCCCCCAACTACGTCTGCAGGCCATACCGGCTTGGACCTATTTTCCAAAAGCGAAAAGAGAAGGAAGGGGAATTGGTGACGCATTGGTGAGAGGAGAAGTTGAACCAGGAACACCAAACGCCATGTGCCGTTGCTCGACTGATATGCACTCATCCAGATAAGCGGTCAGTCACTCAATTTATCTCTTGGTCAACAAACATCATTGGCCCAGCGATGGGTGAGTTTTGAAGCGCATTCCCAACCCCGAGTGAGCCACATGCAGCATCCGGTTGTTTGGCATATGCACCGCTTTCCCACTTGCTGTGGGTGCCACGGTCATTGCCTTATCGTCAATCCCGTTAACACCTCCGATGCTCATTCCCCACACACACATACACAGATACTTAACCCTTAGCATTTCAAGCGGCCTTATTAGTAGCCGAGCGATTTTCCTCACCAGCTCCAAATGTTGTTACCACCATTTCAACTTAGTGTTTGTCATCTGTAGCTACCAAACACCTGTGCCAAGGTAGACTTTGGCCTCAACTCCGTCGATGCAGCTGACAAGTAAGCTAGAAGGACACTCAACACTAGGCTTAACCAGTGTTTGGTAACATTGATGTCAGGTCCGAAACCTACCGACGCAATAAGAAATGCCATTTGACGAAACATGCCTACAAGTCACAACATGCAGGTGACAAGCCCCTAACTGTCACCAGGTCACAGGTTGCAACATGAGTATTGATTTGTCAAGTTAACTTATAAACTAAGCCAATTTTTTGTCGGTCTATGTTGACTTCTACCCCTTATCCGACATTCATTGTAATTGTTTCCTTCGTTCATACATCCAAGCTACATAATGAGAATCCTTTCCTAATAAAGGAGCCTTTGCTTTGTTAAGGGCTTTGCCGGCGTCAACTCTGATTTTTGGGTTAATTAATCTGACTCGGCCAACAACTTTGAAGCTTTTCATGACTGTTAAGGGATTGGCATCAAATGTGAAATTTCGGTTTCCTTTAGCAACCACTATCAGCGGGTATCATGTGCCGCACCGGAATTACACAACAATTTCACAATTTTTTTAAACAGTTGTCTCATTTTCCGAAACAGGAAAAGGAGAAAGGGAAGTCACCTGACTCGTCTTTGCCGGAAGCAAAAAAAAGAGGAGCAGAATTAAACAATGCGCAGTTTTGTGCCAAATAAAGAATGGACAAGCCATGGAAGAAGGGAAGAAGACTTAAAAGTGGGTTGAAAATGCGCAAACACGCAAACTTTGATGCAAAATGATTATAAGACTGCAAAAGGGCATATGGGGAAGAAAATGGGGAAAAGTGTGAACAATGAAAGTGGCGGGCTATCTCATTTACGCCAATACACCGCAGTGAAGTAATATTGTTGATGATTTCAAGCCTTAGGTTGTGATAGTAGGCCCCTGCCAACCAACCCAGAGGAGGAAACAGAGGGTAAACTAATTGCAAAGCCTAATGACTATTCAAGAGCTGGAGATACACACCCCTGAATACATTTCCTCCATGTTTACAGCTTAAATTCATAAGTTTAGTGTTTAGCAGATGCAATACTCAGCAGAGTTGCTTTCCCAGTGTCGCTGAATACAGAAGAAGGTACTGACAATGGAGAAGAACCGGAAGAGTATCAGAATGTTCTCGTTCGAAATGATTTATCTGAGCTAAAGGATTTTGTTCACTAGAAGGGATGCAACATTTTGTGATCTTTAAGTTAGATGGCAGATTATCAGAAGATTAAAAGAACAAACACCTTAGTCTTAAATTAAATACCTAGGCATCTCATCCGTTCAACTTCCAACCACCATAACGGTCTACCTATCGTATCAGACCTGTAAAGTGGCGGTAAATCTACGATTATGATTTGGCTTATAACGGATTCCCAAGCAAAGCTGATTGAGTACTTTTAACTGTTTTCGGCTACGAAATCTTAACGTTGGAGGAAAGTGCCTGTTGTTACGACAGGCACTAACTTCCAGCAGGCTGCCAATTTTTAAACTAGGCAATAGAGAATGCAAATCGTAGCGTATGCTACAATTGCATAAACCTTATTTCTTAATTCTCTTTAACAAAAGTTTGGTAACGAAAAGACCCCATGGATCTAAAATTGTTCTGTGTTGAACCATTTCTAGCGCTAAGTCCTATCACATACTTCATTCCTTTCTTCACAACTTAACTAGAAAGGAAAAGCAAGTATAGGGAGCCCATATCGATAAACCCCGTGTACGACGAACAAATGGAAAAGCTCCCAACGCGATAAAACTTCTTCGACTTCTAGCCATCAAAAGACATCAAGTCAGGCACAGAGGAGTAAAGAAAAAAAAAACTACGACCAACCTTTGCTCCATGCGTAGCATCGTAGAGGTCCTTGTTCGGTATCGATGGATGTGGCAGACCGGCAGGATCCCTTCCAACTATGTAGAAGTG